CTAGACCCGTGGTCGGCAAACTGCGGCTCGTGAGCCACATGCGGCTCTTTGGCCCCCTTAGTGTGGCTCTTCCTAAGCCTTAGGAGTACCCTAATTAAGTTAATAACAATGTACCTACCTATATAGTTTAAGTTTAAAAAATTTGGCTCTCAAAAGAAATTTCAATCGTTGTACTGTTGATATTTGGCTCTGTTGACTAATGAGTTTGCCGACCACTGTCTAGGAGAGTGATGGCGAACCTATGGCATGCATGTCAGAGGTGACACGCAAACTCATTTTTTTGGTTGATTTTTCTTTGTTAAATGACATTTAAATATATAAAACAAATATCAAAAATATAAGTCTTTGTTTTACTATGGTTGCAAATATCAAAAAATTCTATATGTGACACGGCATCAGAGTTAAGTTAGGGTTTTTCAAAATGCTGACACGCCAAGCTCAAAAGGTTCACCATCACTGGTCTAGGAGATGTATTAGTAAATTGGATTCTTTTTTCTTTTTGCTCTTCTGATTGGGTGCTTTTTGCCTCCTCATATTCCAAATGATTGATTTGATCCTCAGAGTTCTTTAGTCTACAGTTGAATCTCTGTAAATTGTTCTTTATTTCAGTTAGCGTATGCTTAATTTCTCACTGGTCCTTTTTCATGTCTTTGACATTTTCACTAAGAACCTTGAAAGTCTCATCAAGATCCGTGATGAGACTTTCAACTATGGTTTTGAACTCTGTATTCAGTAGTTTGCTTTCTTCTATTTCTTTCATTTGTGACATGTTTTTTTGTCTCCCCATTTTGGCTGCTTCCCTGTGTTTATTTCTATATATTAGGTAGAATTGCTATTTCTCCTGGAATTGGTAGAGTGGCCTTGTGTCGTCGATGTCCTGTAGGGGCCAGTCGCTCAGCCTTGCCTGTCACCTGAGCTAGGCACTCTAGGTGTGTCCCTGTGTGGGCTGTGTGTACAGTCTTGTAGTTGAGCATTGATTGCTGTTGGTGTCTCTGGGAGGAGTTGACCTCCAGACTAATTATGTGAGGACCAGCTGCAACTACAGTGGGAGAGCTGCTATGCAGGAGGTGAGGCCCAGCTGTGAAGCAAGGCAGGCTGGTGCTAGTGGGGATCTTGGGCCTTTTATTGATAGTTTGGGGCATGCTGACACAAGCTGCAGCTTGTTTGAGAGATTTAGCAAAGTCTGAAGCCTGAGCCAAGACAGGCCATTCATATGGAAAAGCCACTGCAAACAGCTTGGGTGGGGCTGCAAATTGGATGGGACAGGTCTCAGGGAATCCCCAGGATGGAATAAACAGTGTGGGCCAGGCTGATGGAAACTCAGATATGGCTGCCAGTCAGCCCTGTGACAGGGGACGTCTCAGCACAGGAACAATGACCCTTACTAGCACCCCTGTCTAGGAGAAAGCTGCCACCAAGTTCCTACCCTGATGCAAGACAGCTCACTTTCTCCCTGTATGTGACTGGGTCCCTCAGAGTCACCTGGTGCTGGAGCTCAGAGGAAGTGAGTCTGAGTACGTTCATGTGTTGGCCCTTTAAAAGGAACATCTGGGTCTCCAGCAGCCTCTGTGCCCCTCAGCCACAATTCCCACTGGTTTTTACAGCCTGTAGTTACGAGGACTTCTCTTCCCAGCTCTGGAACCCTGGTCTGGGGGTCTGGAGTGGGGCTGGGACCTCTTGTTCCTCATGGGCAGCCTCCATAGAGATGATCTCCCTCCCAGTTAAAAAACGACACATGTGGGTGTTGGACCAGCCTGTTCGGCACCTCCGCCCCTCCTACTCATCTCAGTGTGCTTTCTTCTTTACTTCTCCAGTTGTAAGACTTCCATTCAGCCAGCTTTCAGGCAGTTCTGAATGATGGTTGTTCTGTATTTCAGTTGTAATTTTGATGTGGTTGTGGGAGGTGGCGAGTACAGGCATTTACCTACGCTGCCATCTTGGTTCTCTCTGGGTCTAGTCTTAATCTTAATTTGAAGCATGATATAATCCCTGCAAGAGCCAGTGCATGGTAACTGGTGAAATCGGAATAAAGTTAGTGGATTATGTCAATGTAAATTTCCCAGTTGTGATATTGTGCTGTAGTTATGTAAGACATTGTAATTGGTGAAAATGGATGAAGGATGCATTGTTTCTTTTTTCATGTGATAAAATATACATAACATAATATTTACTATTTTAACTATTTTAGGTGTACAATTCAGTGGCATGAAGTACTTTAACAATGTTGTGCAACCATCACCACTATCCATTTCCAGAACTGTTTCATCATTGCAAACAGAAATTCTGTACCCCTTAAATAACAGCTCTCTGTTCCCCCCTCTCCCCTTCTACTTTTTGTTTCTACAAATCTACCTGTTTTAGTTACCTCATATAAGTGGAATCATATAAGAATTGTTCTTTTGTGTCTGGCTTACTTCATTTAGCATAATCTTTTCAAGGTCATCCATGTTGTAACATGTATCAGAATCTCATTCCTTTTAAAGGTTGAATAATATATATACACATACCACATTTTATTTATCTGTTGGTGGACATTTGAGTTATTTTTACTTTCTGGCTACTGTGAATAATACTGTTAAGAACATTGGAAAATAGTCCAGCTGGTGTGGTTCAGTGGTTGAGCATTGACCTATGAACCAGAAGATCATGGATCGATTCCAGGTCAGGGCACATGTCTCGATTGTGGGCTTGATCCCCAGTAGGGGGCAGGTGATCAATGATTCTCTTTCATCACTGATGTTTCTCTTTCTCCCTCTCCCTTCCTCTCTGAAATCAATAAAAATATATTTTTAAAAATGAACATTGGCATACAAGTATCTATTTTAGCCCCTATTTTCAATTCCCTTTGGTATTTACCTAGAATTTCTGGGTCATATGATAATTCTATGTTTAACTTTTTGAGGAACTGCCAAATGGTTTTCCATAACAGCTGCACAATTTTACATTCCCACCAGCAATGTACAAGTGTTTCAATTTCTCCACGTTCTCACCAACACTTATTTTTTTTTTACATTTTTATAATAGCCATCCTAATGAGTATGAAGTGTTGTCTCATTGTGGCTTTGATACACATTTTCCTAATGACCAATTCTGTTGAGCATCTTTTCATGTATTTATTGTCCATTTGTTTATCTTTGGTGAAAGATATTTCTTTCAGTCCTTTGCCCATTTTAAAATCAATTGTTTTTCTGTATTCTTACAACTGCATGTGAATCTGCAATTATCTCAAAATAAAACCTGTTTTAGTTACCTCATATAAGTGGAATCATATAAGAATTGTTCTTTTGTGTCTGGCTTACTTCATTTAGCATAATCTTTTCAAGGTCATCCATGTTGTAACATGTATCAGAATCTCATTCCTTTTAAAGAGTTTATCTCCTCCCAAATCTCCACCCCATTTTTCTTCACTGCCTTTTTAGCTCAACAGTGCCTTCAAGCAACTGTTTTAAACATTTTTGTCCAGCTTTTCTGTCTCTCCACATGACCTCATCTACCATTATTGGGAGTCTCTTTTTGTTCAGTTATGGTTTTGTAAAAGAAAAAAATATTTAACTAAATTTAAAAGTAATTAAAAAAACAAACTCTTCATGTAGTTTAAACATAACACTAAGTCTTTACTCAGTAAAAACATTTCTGCATGAGATGGAGATAATATGGACTAGGTATATGGGAGAAATGGCAGTTCGTTCTCCATCTTAAAATATTTTATGGGAGAAAAATGTACTTAAAGCATTCTTATTATCAGAAAAAATACACTTATCTTATTAGAGTCTCTTACTTAAACATCACCTCTGCAGAGAGGCTATGTTGGGGGTCCCGCTTGATAATTCATTAGGAGGATTCACGGTCCCCAAAAAAATCAGCAAAAGAAAGCGGTGCAGGGGTGAAGTCTGGAGGAAACTGAATCCTTGGAGGCCCGCATCTGGTTGTCCAGGGTTTTTATTGGGGATCTTCACACAGACATATAGCCCCTCCATGGGCAATCTCAGTTACTGAAGCTCCAGACCCCACAGAGAAAGCAGGGGCTCGTTATAAATCACATTTCAGCATAAACTATCTGGATAAATAAGTACAGTGTGACCCAAGGCCTCAGGTACGCAACATACTTTTATCAGGCAGATCAGTCCAAGGAAGAGCTTGGCTCCCAGGTGCCAGACAAGGGCCAGGCAGGAAAACAGGCCTTTCTTGAGAGTGTGCAGAGTCTGAGCAACCTATGCCTGCTAAATTAACCCTTTTCCGCCCAGAGGTCTATCCTGACCAAACCTGAAGAAGGAAGCAGCCCTTGTTACTCGCTAGTTCCCCACCCTGCAATATGTTTCTTAATGGCATTTATCACTGTCAGAACCTGGGCTATATAATCGTTTGTTTATTTGACACTAATTAAACAACATGTATTATTTGCTATCATTCTTTCTCCACTAGACAATAAGTTCCATGAGACCAGAGGCTTTGTTTTGTTCACTGCGGTTCGAACCTGGGACCCCTCAGTCCGAAGGCCGACGCTCTATCCACCGAGCCAAACCGGTCCCGGCTGCAATATGTTTCTTAATGGCATTTATCACTGTCAGAACCTGGGCTATATAATCGTTTGTTTATTTGACACTAATTAAACAACATGTATTATTTGCTATCATTCTTTCTCCACTAGACAATAAGTTCCATGAGACCAGAGGCTTTGTTTTGTTCACTGCGGTATTCCCAGTGTCTAAAACGGTACCTGTAGTAGGTACTCAACAGGTATTTGTTGTATAAATAAATGAGTAAAAATGATCATGTGTGCAATTACTTAGGAATGCCAATAATGTTGCCTGGATCTAAATTTTGGGACGTGCTGTCACTGTATGAATGACAAGTTCCTCATCCATTTACTTCTCTCTCCTGAACAGGTCTACAATTCAGTAGCCACATCTTTCCCTCGAAGGTTTGTTTTGCCCTTACGTGTCAGTTTGAACGCCCCTGAGGGAGAGAACCTCAGCCCGTTGTCCTACTCCTCGGCCAGTGCTGTGAAACAGGCTGATGGCAAGGTAGGCTCTGAGCAGATATTAGACGAAGACATTGGATGTTAGTGTCGTTTTTACTCACTGGCCATTTCCCACAGTGTTTGACGGACAGTAGGTTTCATAACATTCAGCTGAGCAGGCTCAGGTCCAGGTACATCGCTTGCACAAGAACCGCAGAATTCGGTTTGGGAGTGAGCACTGTGTTTACTGCTCTCTTCTGTGTTTTGAAACAGATATACGCAACTTTCGAATGGTTGTAAAATGTTTAAATATTTGAGGTTGGTATTGACCACCCCTGCCTTTTGGATAATTTGTGCTTATCACAGGCATCTTATTGGGTAGCTATCAATGTCTTAGCTTTAGTAGAATAAAAAGCCCACTTGTACCTCCTATCAGCTTAGTCACAAAACCAGATAATCTTTTACGCATTTTTACCCATGATGGAAAGAAGAACAATATAAAAAATTACATAGGACCTCCATTTCCAAGCCCTGTCAGAAACTCGTACAGAGTGTTACCCCCCTGCCCCCCCCCCCCCCCCCCCCCCCCCCCCCCCCCCCCAAATGACCTACACAAGAAAATAAGTGAGGATTAAGCAATCACTTACAAATCTTTTGGAACCTTTTCAGATTTGGTGCTCTTATGAAAATCTACACCCTGAGAACTTAGAACAGGAAGGAGGTGTTGAATTTCCCCAGATCAACTATGGCCAATTCTGTGGCAAAAAATATCGTTTCTTCTATGGCTGTGGCTTTCGGCATTTGGTAGGGGATTCTCTGATCAAGGTTGATGTGGTGAACAAGACACTAAAGGTAATGAAAATCTCTTTTGTTTTCTAAACCCTGAAAGGACCTGCTCTGCCCTTGGAATGAGTTTCTGTTTAGATTAAGGTAGCTTTTGAGCTTCTCTAATATTTAAGCAGCTCAGCTATTTACTTTTATTAAGTTTGAGAACCATGGAATCACCTAAGTAGGGGTATGTTCCCTCCAGGGAATCTAAATGAGTCACAAGCCCAGAAATAGAATTCTGAGCTTGATGTTATTTTGAGAGAAATCATGGGGCTAAGGTTGTTGGCATAACTATATTTCAGGTTGGTAGGAAATTACAATTTCACAAATTGTGTTTGATGATGATAGAATGTGCAGCTGCAAAAGCTCCCTCTCTCTCTCATATATTCAACTCAGTAAGTCTTTTTTTGTGTGTGCTTTGTTGTTGTTGGAATATTATATTGACAGCCAAATTCATGCTGGGAGGGGAAAAAAGCTATTGAAAGCTTCCAGCTCATAACTAACCTTCCAGCTCATAACTAAGCTTCCAGCTCATAACTAAGCTTCCAGCTCATAACTAACCTTCAAATACTTTTTTTGGGGAGTTACAGGTTTGGAGAGAAGATGACTTTTATCCTTCAGAACCTGTTTTTGTTCCAGTACCAGGGACCAGTGAAGAAGATGGTGGGGTTATTCTTTCTGTGGTGATCACCCCCAATCAGGTAAATGTATTTCCCTGTTACCAATCAGAAAGAAAAGTAATTCTGGGCCTTTTGAGGGCTATATGAGGGATATATTCAGTGAAGCTGTCGATTTATTCCAGTGTGGCACCTTCTCTTTTCTTCCTGTCCTTACCATTTATGTACCCTTTTATGATAATCCATACTTTTTATTGGTTTAAATTTCTATTTGTAGAACTATGGTAATTTATATTCGCATAGGAATGCAGTTACAAACTACTTTCAGACATATTATTTTATTTACCCATTAAAACAACTTTGTGGGATACCATTTACACATGTGGCATTTGTAACTTAAGGAAGCTGAGAGAGATTTGTATCAGATCTCACAGTAGTAAAGCCAGTATGTAACCCCAGTCTTCTGACTTCCAGTCTAATATTCATACCATCTGTGCTGTCACTCAATTGAGTGACCCTAAAGTCTAATGTGGTGAAGCCCGGATCTGGTGTCTCAATAATATCTAACATCTCCTTTGGGGCAATCTTGTGGCAAACAGGCTCCCCTTGAATACCAGCTCTGACGAATCCATAGAGGCTGCCTGGGAGGTAGAACTCTAACCCTTTCAAAGGGCTTGGTGAGGAATGTTCTCTGATCAGTGAGTCAGGCCTGCCGTGGTTTAGGAGGGGTTAGTCCTAATACCATGTACTTGCCACTCCAGTATTCATACCAGGCAAGTTTCGGTCTGCCTTGCAGTGATATGTTTGGTCAGCTCCCAAGTAACACAAGATGGAGAGAGGCAATTCTAATTCGGAAGAAAGAAGTTCTGTGAAACAGGTAAAAAGATCCTTAAACAATCACCTATGAAGGTGATTGATATAAACAATGTAATTTTTCCACTCTAGGTATGAGCTTCCCATTCACTCCAGTTCAGCAATTCAGCAAACATTTAGTGACTGGGCAGGCAAGGCGCTCTACTAGGTACTGAGGATAGCTATGAGATGAATAATACATGATCTCCCTCTTAGAAATTTTATAGCCTAGTGGAGGAGAGAGATATATTTTTAATAGAAAAAAAAGGAATTTTAAATATTGTTTCTTTTCTAGAATAAAAGCAACTTTCTCCTAGTCTTGGATGCCAAGAACTTTGAAGAACTGGGCCGAGCAGAGGTGCCTGTGCAAATGCCTTATGGGTTTCATGGCACCTTCATAGCCACCTGATGGAAGAACCACGAGGTCTGGGGACCAGGTTTAAAATGAATGTGCTCTGTACAAAAGAGGACCGAAAAGGGCACCTTACTTTCCAAACCATAGACATCTGGTTTCTAAATTTCTATTAAAAAAAAAAGAATTCAAGAAATAATTATGGTTTTATATTTTCTTAGGGCTCTTCCTTGAAAACACTGAGCAAGTGTTGATACCACTTTTTGAAGAGAGTTTTACATTTGTATTTACTTGATATATCTTCCTCTCGGCAACGAGAATGCATGAAAGGAAAACTAGAAGTGGGTCATTACCACCACCAGATAGGTAGGTGACAGAGACCCTCACACTTGGCAGAAGAAATCTGAATAATCATAGGTAGTGGAATATGAATATAGATCTGAAAAGCACTGGGTTTTTCTATCACGGCCTGCCTGTTACCACTGGCCTCAGGTGCTCAAGCAGACAGGAAGCCAGCGGTGTCACCCTGATGGCTTCCTTTAGACTGGCTGCTTCTCTGCAGTCCACAGCAGATGCCACTGCAGTTGGACCACCCGTGACCACCTCCCACCCTGCCCCTAGTTTGGCCTTGGCAGGGTGTTGTTTTGAAGTATTACAGGATTCCAGGGCAGGAGGAATGGGGGAAGCTGAGAGAGGAAAATTAGGACAAGGCCAAACATTGTGGGTAATTTGCAACTGGCCTGCAAACAACAAATCGGTATGTTCCCCAGGACACTCTGGGAGCAAATAGTTAAAGACCTCCCTGCTGAGAGAATGCAGAAAGGGAGGGGGAAAGGGAAAGGAAAAAATGGCACTTTTACTCCCAAAGCAAAGCCAGCAGTCTCAGGGCTCAGCAAGAGAGAGTTGCCAGGATCCTGGGAAGACCACAACAGGAAAACCTTGAGACTTAACCTATACCAAGATACTCAGCAAAAGAATCTTCTGAAACCTACAGACAGGAGGAGGGTATATTACTCCTCGAACTTGCTCCAGACACTCGCTTTTCCGGATTAGCTGGGAAAGCCCATCTGTGCTCCAAGCCGGATGAGGTAGAGTTGCTTGCTTTGCTTTGCTTTTTCAATAAAGGTGCATGCTTTAATCACTTTAATAAACTGGCTTTTCACAATGCAATCAAGAGCTCTCCTATAAACTCATTTATATGAGAAGACAAGGATGGAGGTTAGGGACAGCCCTCTCCCACTAGCTCAGGGAGCTGTCCTGTCTGATAACACCTTTCTGGTGTCAGTGAGAGGTGCCTATAACAGAAGGACATTGCTAAAATCAGGCATTTATTCTAACCTCCAGGTGTCTAGTTCTTCAGAGATTAATGAAAAATCATTAGTTCTTCATTTATTTGGGCAACAGGTTGTACTAGAGACCATGTAATCTCCACATTTCTAAACCCCACCAGTTTTCACTAATAGCCCAAATCAGCCTAGGTTTGGCACTTAAGCCACACTCTTCCCAACACCCTCAAAATCCCTTTCCCTTCAGTTATACTCCTTCCCTCTGCTGAATTCCAGTCCCGGGCCAGCTAAACCTTCCATGCTCCCTCTGCCTGTTGAGCATCACTGGAAAAGACCCCCAAACATGTCTTTTGGGAGCAATTGTGAATTCATGATGAGGCTCACTGCACAGTCCTGGACCAATATAGTCAGTTTCTTCTTAATTTTCTTTCTTTTTTATAAATCCTCACCCGAGGATATTGTTATTGATTTTAGAGGGAGGGGGGTGGGAGGGAGGGAAGAGAGAGAGAGAGAGAGAGAGAGAGAGAGAGAGAGAGGAGAGAGAGAACGAACAATCAATGTGTGAGAGAACTTGATTGGTCGCCTTCTGAATGTGCCCTGACCAGGGATCAAACCCACAACCTTTCAGTATATGGATAATGCTCCAACCAACTGAGCCACATGGCAGGGCTGAGTTTTCTTTAAGAGTTATTGTAAACACCACAAACCCTACCTCTTTAGTTCCATATGTACAGATGCCACATGAGAGAGTTTACAAAGTAAAAGTTCTAAGTTTTGTGTTTGTATTAGTGAGATACAGAACAACAGTAGCAGGCATACAATGGCAAGAAGAAACCTAAGCAGAACAGATATATCAGATGTGGGAGCTTAGAGGCTGAGGTAACCATCAGAACATAAATCTCCTGATACTTCTCCAGACAAGACATGGAGGTTTGATCTTCTCTGGATCTGAAGGCTGAAGGAGCCACTAGTTGACATCCAGGAAATATACAGGTGTGATCATGTCTTTCCTCTGTTTATAAACCTTTACTCCATCCTACTACACAGGGAGGGAAGTTTAAACATATAAAGGTTAGTAGCGTAATCATAAGATTTTGACCCACGGATGCCTGGATTCTGGCTTGGCCCTGCCATCTATGAGGTTCTTGAAGAAGAGGACAGAAAGGGGTCAGTGATGTTTTGTAATCTATGTACACATGCCTGGTAATCCAGTGCAGAAAGTTTCGAGTGAGCATCTGACTAATGTTGAAAGCCTAGGCAGGGCCTCTTCCTCTCCCTAAGCCCAACTCATCACTGGCCAGTGTCCAGAGACTCAAGGAAAGGGCTGTGTGGTCCACAAGTGAGGGGAAAAGGAAGTAGTGTTCACCCTTGTGACCTTCTCTCAACTAATCATATCTGTAAAGACCTATTTCCAAATAAAGTTATATTGTGAGGTACTGGGGATTAGGACTTCAACCCATTAATTTGGGGGATACAATAACTGGATCACTGAGGGTGAATTTTGTGAGTACCTTTATATTGAACTAGAGGCCTGATGTGTGAAATTCGTGCAAGGGGCTCAGCCCTTGCAGCCCTGGCCGGCCCTGGCTTGTCTGGAAGGTCATCCAGATGGTTGTTCTGCTGTTCAGTTTAATTAGCATATTACCTCTTTATTATATAGGATTAGCTTTAATAAAAAAATTTTAGAGCAAGAATTCAAATTCAATGACATACTTTACTAAAGCAAATAGATAAAATGATTTCCCAGAAATGTCTTTTATTAGATTCTTCAAACTATTTTTGGAATAAGTGTCTGTGTTAAACACTGTCTGTTTGAGTATCACTGATATAGTCAGTATCTGGGAAATATTGTTTGTATTATATGTGATCTTGGTTAAGTACTTAACTATTCTGGGCCTGTGTTTTCTTACCTGTCAAGTGGGAGGACTGAACTAGATAGTCTATAAAAAAAAATCTCTGAAGCTTATAATTCTTTGAAGTTTTTTTTCTTTGCAGCACAAGGGGGAGATGAGAAACATTTTTGGAAAAATGTGTGAAGAATGTTTGGTACATAGCATGTTAATAATTTAATGCAGAACCAATAATATATAGCTGGAGACCTGAGGCACTTGAGAGAAGTCACCATTGGGGCTTATATATCAGCCACACCCATGATTTTATTTGTCTTTCCCAGTGCTGGGGGGAAAAATGCCTCCTAGTAGATATTCAATAACTATTTGAGGAAAGCATGAATGCAAGCAAGACCTGGTACGGTACTGGGCATGTAAGTTGTTTGCATATTCCTTATGAGTAGTTGTGAGGAAACGAGAGGTGATGCATTCGACATAGAATCGCTGGTGTGGGTGCTCATGGGTGCGCGTACTCGCACGGTGCCAGCCCAGGGTGACACACGGTTTCACAGTCCAAAGGTAGTCTACTCTCCGAAAGCCGCGTGGTCCTGCACGTACCCTCGAATTCCTGCCTCCTTTACCATAGGAGACCGGCCCTGCGGTAAACCAGACACTGGAAGTTTCTATTGTAATCCAGGGCATGTAGAAGCGACTGGGAGGGGCGGCTCAAAGAAGTCTCTCCGGGGCCCAAAGTGTGCCCAGACTGACCCTGACTGCGTGGCATGGCCTCAGGCTGAGCAGACATAAAAATCAACATTAAACCCATTCATTTGACCAGGGCTAGGTATGCCCAGCTACCTGAATCCCGGCTATCCCGAGATCCAATCAGCAAGGGACAGTGCTGCAGCCTCCAGGCCGGCAGAGGGAGCCCAGCCCCAGGGCGCAGCGCAGAAACTTCCGGGCGCAGCGCGCATGCGCAGCCCTGGCGGGAGGCTCCGCCCACCCCAGCTACCG